CAACATTCTGAACAACTGGTGATGCAATCGATCGCTGAATCGCTCGACGGCTGAACGTCGAATGTGAGGCGAGACGACGAACAGTGGGCAGAAGGAGAAAATAAGGGTGACATCACGGAACCGAGCCAAGCTGCTTACATAAACGAAAGTTAACGCGGTCCAAGCGTCGGTTGTGCGTTGGTTAGATAACATCAGGAAACTCCGTGTGTTCGCGGAACGTTGGCGAATTTCACGTGAGTACACGAGGTACACGAGGTACTCGAGGCGAGTATCGAGCGAAGCTCGAGCGGATCGCCGATCGATGTAACTCGCTAACGAGCGATTTTACTCGTCGACGGGGAAAGCAACAATTAGCCGGCACGGACGCGCGACGACCGGTCACGGAATAGAATAATTCATGTACAAGGAACCGTGGCGGACAAGTGGCCACTTAGTAATTCGCCACGATAGAATGCACGCTATCGACAATCAAGAGCCGACCGTCGATAAATCAATGGATTTTTTCCCCGCCTTTGTATATACACGGGCGAAACTCGTGAATAAAGTGTCGTTGTCGCTGTACGCGTGTACGTGCGAGAGCGCGCACGCACGCGCGCGCGAATTTTACGCGTGGATAGCGGCAATGTATCAAGATTTAATCCGGCCGCCTCGTGGCCGCAATGTTTCAACACATTCCGATAGTACACACCCATAGGCGAGTATGCGAACGAACAAGGAACGAGGGCGGAATAGTATCGACTGTGAAGCGGCCGCTATTTTTTCCCAAATCGAATGAAATATATTGGCGGACTTATCGAAACGTCGGACATACGCGAACCTTCGCTTCGTCGTATCGGTTTTATTAAAATACGCGAATAGGTATATACAGAGTGCCGAGTGCGCGCGTACACCGCCGTTAAACCGTGAAACTTCTGCTTGTTCGAGATAAAAGAGGCTTGAAAAGAAAGTTCTCACAGCTCTCTAGCGGTGGATAGCCGCGTTTTATCGGGATTCGTAATTCTTTTTGTCGTTTCTTCGCCGGAGAACTAGGAGTCACGTATCATAGTTTTCGATTAGAGCTCGCAGGCATGGCTGGAGGATAGATCGTGATGTTATTCAATTTTTTTTGTTTTGTTTTTTTTTTTT